AGTTCAACAACTGAAGTCGAAGTGGACATACACTGGAAATGTCGCAAGCCGTGATCCGTTCGTTCGCCGCAACCAAATCAAAAGAATGAAATTTTCTGAGAAGTGCAAAACAAAAAGACGAAGTGCGAATTTAGCTCAAAGGCATAAATGCTGTGGATCGAACAAAACGTCGAACAGAGCCTCAAAGTTTTCATGAAACTACAGAGAAGCCCTAGAAACAAGAGGAAGAGATATTTATTCTGTCTAAGTATATTCAAGCGTCTTGAATCACCTCTCTGGAAAACGCAAAGCGAGAGCAGCCTCTCCGCAGCCGAAGTCGCCGACTCTGCAAACAAAGCACAGTGAAGCAATACGACGAATGAGAAGAAAAGGAACAGAGCACAGAAAAAGCAAAAATATTCGGAGGGAGAAGTGCTTCTTCGGTTGCCTTTTTCAGTGTCTGTACACCACCGCCGCCACATTTGCAGACAGCACAACCCCCGTTAGCCCTCACCAACTCACATCCATTCCTCCGGCCTTTTCGATAACCAAGCCGCAACGTAGTCTAAAGGATTCAGCGGCCATCGACGCACTTGCGCCCTGTAGCCTGCATGGTACTGAAAGAGTCACACAGAAAACAGCAGCAGCAGCAGCAGCAGCAGCAAAGCGAATACGCTTTAGGCTCACAGCCTCAACATTCCTATGCCGAAAAAGCAAGACTGCATACGTTTCTAATTGCAACGGAGTAGTCTGTTGGCGTTCACTCATGAATGGGAAGTGTAATACGGACAATGTCAAACAACTGCGGCTCCTTCTGATATCTTGCAAAAGCTTCGTTCCCCTTTTTTGTGTAGAGATATTCATTTAGAGAACGAAAACGCCCGCCCTGCAAGCGATCGACGACTGCTGATGAGACGCCTGCTGCTGCTCCTCGATCTGAGAACTGCTTCACCAACAACAGCTGCCGCTCCTGCTGCTGTAGCTTTTGCTGCTGCGTTTGCTGCTGCTGTTTGCAATGGTCCGCTTTCTTCCCCTTCACCTGAGAAGAAGGTAACTCCTCACAGTTGATTTCCTGGGCTGCCAGTTGGTTCGAGTTTATCTTCGCTTCCGAATTCAAACGCATGCGTTTCATGCCCCTTTCGCCGTCTCCTCGGTCTTCTCCAGTTGAATGCCTCTTCTGCTTCTTCTTCTTCTTGCTCTTACTGCCGTGTTGGCTCTCCCTGACGGAGTCATGTGCAGCCCTCGGTGCAGCATTAGGAGCACACACAGTGTCAACGGCCGCCTGCCGCTGCTGCTGCTGATGCTGCTTAGCTGGAGCACTTGCGGTCTGCTGTGATATATCGCTCGATTGATTACGAACAGCGAAGTCTGCAGAAGGATCGTGGTGCTGCGCCTTCTGCCCCAGTAAGTGACCAGCTGTACGTACAGTCGATGGGGGCCTTCCCCTCGGCTCGGCGCGTCTGGACTTGTAACGCAAAGAAAGCATTGCTACGACAGCAGCGACTTGCGCCGCTGAAATATGTGTCG